TACCTACCTACCTGTAGCGGCATTCATGTGTTGAGCCGGCTCCAATATTGGAATTTCATGGGAATTTGGAATTCACAACCGGTTCCCAACCCGCATGTATACCACATGAGATTTGATTATAGGGGTGAAGGTTTCGGGCAGGACCATCCACACTTTTTGAAGGGTCGAATACAGAGACCTGGTGCACTACGTGCCACAAGGTCCCCAAACGACTCTTCGCAGGTTCTGAATTCAGAGTTGTCCTTCTCCTAGACCAGTTGCCATCTAAGGCTATAGAACCCAGTATGACCTGCTATTTACCCATAGCTGGAGGGAGAAGATGAGGATTCACACCTTTCCCAAGGGTATTAGCACGTAAGTGAATGTAATGGATTCGACTGGAATTCGAACTCGGCTCTCCGATTCCTCAATCCAAGCCGCTATCCGTTACTCCGCTGTCGACTACTTAGACAGTATATTACTCCCCACTTAGTGTCCTATGTATTTATGAGGATGAAGACATACTCATTAGAGTTCATAGGTACGGTAAATACTACATATAGAAGTCATGATGTAAAATTCTCTTCCACATAGAAGTAAAAATCACTTATTGAAATATGTATTTGCATTTGTTTATTCAAATTTACCTGTCTCTTAATTTACAGGAATTCGTTACTAATCGCAATATTTAGCAATTAGCTCATTATTTTTCTTGTTTTGGTATGTAAAACACATAGAATCATTAAAATAATCTCAAAGAGGAATTGTTCCCTCTGCTGAAACTGCTATATCGATTATCTTAGAACATTTGTCTGGTTCCCCTTAAGAGACTCCAGCTGCATGATCGCCTGGCCTGTTATGAGTATGGCATTGGAGTGGGCCCATTTATCACCAATCATTGCAAATGCAATATGGGCTTCAAAGCGGCAAGCGAGCTGGTGGAGGACGTAGCGGGATTGATACTCGGGTTGGGCGAATTTTAAGTCCAGCGAAGACTGGTGACTTTTATAAAAAACAAATAAATAAATAAATATAAATAAATAAATAAATAAATCAAATAAAAAAAAAAATCACGCAGTTGTATTCATTTATTCCGATTGAAAGACGCCGGAATAAGAAACAGGCATTAACGATTCATTATTAAAACACACACACACACACACACACACACACACACACACACACACACACACACACACACACACACGCGCGCGCGCATTTATATCATTCTGACTTAAAGAAGTTGAGACGCGTGGTCAGTAAAACAGTTTTCGAATTTGCTTGATTCACACACACACACACACATGCACACGCACATACACACACACACATATATATGTATGTGCGCGTGTTTGTGTTTGAAATAGACTATACCCACATAATATATATGCTTTATATATGCTCTCTTATAATAAATACATTGAGCTCTCCTGTGGATCAGTTTTAATATCTGATATTACTAGGATCCACCTGGATTATATACCAACGGATCTATTACCTGTACTATATATATATATATATATATATATATATATATATATATATATATATATATATAGATAGATAGATACACCTAGTGAGCCAGACAAACCTACCTAGGTTTCACCTAAAACGGATCGTCAGGGAAAGTTTGGCTAACGAGGCAAAAAGAAACACATATTTATAGGTGATAGCTAAAATCATACCACGTGACAAAAAAACAAAAAAACAAAAACAAAACCTAAGTGGGTGGGGTGGAAATATTTATTCAACAAAAAAAAAAAAAAAAAAAAAAATCCTCAGTGGAAAGTCAATAACGGGAAAACATTTAATTTAGTAGCCAAGATTTTTTATGTCTACATACATTGAGAATTTCAGTTTTAGAGTTTAATAGTTGGTTGGGTTGATCATATAAAGCTATGGCTAATTTCTCCTCAGCACATAATTTGCAAAATTTATGGCCTGCTTTATATTTTGGGCATTTTTTAATATTTCCCATTTAAGGATGGGGTCTATGTTATCTTCTTGTTTGGTTTTCCATACGTAGGTAGATAGCGTGGTACTATGTTTAATTTTTGCATTCTTAAAACTACTCGTGTGGTTATAATATATTTTTTAAATTTATCCTGAGTAGCACCTATGTATGTTTTAGGATTAGTATCCTCAGTATTTTTGTAAATTTTCACTTGATACACCACGCATTCTGCTGGCATTTTCCTGTAATGGACAGATGTTTTGTTTCTACAATTACAAGTAGGAGGATTACTACGTGGATCATTCTGTTTTTTTTTCTTATTCAAGCCATTTATAATAGTCCCTACGTTCGGCATACAACAATAACTAAGTTTTTACATTTTTTTTTTGTTAAATATTTTATGTAACTCAGTTTTTTTGGGAAATGTTGTTCAGTAAATTAAAAATATCTTACCAATTTTAGTTTTTACCGCTAAATTGAAAAGGGGATTAAACCACAAAATTTTTTCTTTGCCTATTATGTTTATTCCGAGTAATATTGTGGTTGTCTATATATTCTGATTTATTTTTATGTCCACTCTTAATTAGGGCTTGCTCATAACTTATTTTGTTGGCCTCAAAAATGTCCCTATTAGAGGAATTAGTAGAAAGTCTATATCCAATATTTTTAGAAATATGCCTTATAATATGGGCTGGGTGATTTGATTTTATGTGTAAATACTGGGCTTCTAGATTTTCTTTTTTATACGGGGATATTGTGCCATTTTGTAAATTTAACGTAATCTCTAGATAGTTGGTAATTTTCAAATTGGTTTCTATATCGAGATAAAATCAATTTTTAAAAACCAGTGCGATTTTTTTTACGAATGTTGTCACATTTTTGAGGGTTACTATTGTCCACTATGATTAAACCGTCGTCGCGGTACAACCCATGGTTATTGAAGTCTGCTCCACGGTTGTATTGAGCTCTTTTGTTAGTTAGTTGTTACTCGTATCAGGGGTTTTTTTTTGGGCTTCAGACCTGTATCTGTGCGATTTTTTGTCGGCAGAAGTCCATGTTCGTAGTTCTTCCTTTTTTTAAAACCTTTTTTCCCTCGAAATTGATTTGATTAGCAAATCAAAAATTGAGGGTTTTTCAAACAGTCTAGTTATATATATATATATATATATATATATATATATATATATATATATATATATATATATAATATAAATTAAGAAAACATTAAAAATCCATATCAGTTATAATTTATTTCTTGAATATGGTTATATTCACCTCTTCAGACTGAATGTTTTTTTAAGAAATGGAATCAATCCATCCAGATAGATATACCGAGATAAACAAAGGGAAAAATAGACAGAGAAAAAAAAGAGATGATTTAACAATATTCATAAATAAATTATAACTGAGATGGGTTTTTAAGGTGTTTTCTTAATTTATCTTTATATATATATATATATATATATATATATATATATATATATAAGAAATGGACAAGGTCCGACAATTTATTTATGAAAGACATTTTTATGTTTAACGTTGTTATTTATAGATACAAGTATTTAAGCAAATGCTCTGTTTATGATAAACAGTATTAAATAACATTTACCGGCCTGAATGTCGAGAAATTTTTCATAGAAAATATTGTTCTTTTGACAGGATTCGAACCTGCATCCTATACGGAACCGTCATTTACGCTGACGTCAAAAGAACGAATATTTTTCTTTATATATATATGATATATATATATTATATATATATTTAATTATATATATATAATATATATATATATCCATATGATATATATATATATATATATATATTATTCCATATATATATATATATATATATATATATAAATATGACGATTTTATATGGATATATATATATATGCATATATATATAACCTCCCGGAAACCGAACGATCCTTTAAGGCTGAGATAAAGGCTATATATTTGTTCCGTATAGGATACAGGAAAATCCTGTCGAAGGAAGAATATTTCCTATGAAAATTTCTCGGACATTTAGACCGGTAAATGTTATTTAATACTGTTTATTATGAACAGAGCATTTACTTAAATACTTGTATCTATAAAAGAATGTTAAACATAAAAATGTCTTTAAATATATATATATATATATATATATATATATATATATAAATTCAGCCCACCCGAAAATCAATATTAGTAACAACAATTGGGTGCAACTGAGGCACATTCATAAATAAGGGGGGTGCTATCAAATTGAATGGTGGGAGCGTAAAAGGTCCATTTTTGCGTTCTCATCTTGCAACCATCATAATAATAATATACGATAATTTTTATTTATAATACATTTTTTTTACATCATTCTAACAATATTTTGCGTTAGATTTCAACTCTCTAAATTGATTGTACGCTATTTTTTTTGGGGGGGGTTGCAGACTTTAAATTTTGCCTTTGATTTTTGCGCAAAGTGTAAAAAAAAAAACCCAGTTTTTTCGATTTTTCACCTTCAAGGTTGTAATTTTTTTCCAGCCAATTTGAACTCAAAACCGACACTGGAGAATTATCTATCAAGCAAAATAAATACCGAATTCGGATGAAAACTGTGGAATACAGACATACATACACACATTTTGAGAATTCTAGATATAGATTACCAACAATACATTTTTGATCTACAAAATATACCTTTACTCTGAAATTATCAAATAATGCACAAAATATTTAGATTTCAGCGTTAAATAACCCATAAAGGTGTTGATATGCCGCTAAACAAAATCAACCAACAACACATATTTATGGCAAAATTACCAACTATACATATTTAAAACAAGGTTATTAACAATACATTTTATCTATAGTTGAAGCTATTAAATTGTGTTCAACATATGTAGATTTTGGCATTAAATAACCCATACAGGTGTTGATATGTCGCTAAACAACATCAACCAACCAATCGTTCCCTCCCATAAAATGCCACTGAATGTCAGTTCGGCGCAGTTACAATATAAGCCACAGGTTGGCTATGTTGGCGAGGTGTTAGGGGCAGGGATTATTTGGTGTGGTATCATGCCAGTGCGTCAAATGAATGATATGACTCCGACAGGGTTGGGTTTCCTCGCTTCCGACTTTGTCAGTGTTAACCCTCGAGATGAATACCCGTGGGTCAGATGGTACGTGATCTGTGCGCGTATGAGAAAATCGTTAGGCAGATACATAGATAGATAGATAGATAGATAGATAGATAGATAGATAGATAGATAGATATGAACAGACTGAAATAGATAGACAGACAGATAGATAGATAGATTGGTAGATAGATATAAATAGACTAAAACAGAGAAACAGGCATATAGACATGAACAAACTAAAATAGATAGATAGATAGATATGAACAGGCTGAAAAGATAGATAGATAGATAGATAGATAGATAGATAGATAGATATGGACAGACTAAAACAGATAGATACACAGATAGACAGACAGACAGATCGATAGAAGGACTAAACTAAAAGACAGAAAAACAGACAGATAGATAGATAGATAGATAGATAGATAGATAGAAACAGACTAAAATAAAGAGAGAGGCGTGTAGGACAATAGACATGAACAACCTAAAATAGATAGATAGATAGATAGATAGATAGATAGATGAATAATATGAACAGACTGAAGACAGATACAAAATAGATATAGATAAAGATTAATAGATGATAGATTAAGAACATAAAGGGATAGGTAGATGGATAGATAGATGGATAAGAACAGATTGAAATAGATAGACAGACAGATAGATAGATAGATTGGTAGATAGATATAAATAGACTAAAACAGAGGGACAGGCATATAGACATGAACAAACTAAAATAGATAGATAGATAGATATGAACAGGCTGAAAAGATAGATAGATAGATAGATAGATAGATAGATAGATAGATATGAACAGACTGAAATAGATAGATACATAAATAGATATATAGATAATTAATCTAATGAGATTAATAGATGATAGATTAAGAACATAAAGGGATAGGTAGATGGATAGATAGATGGATAAGAACAGATTGAAATAGGTGACAGACAGATAGATAGATAGATTGTAGATAGATATAAATAGATAAAACAGAGAAACAGGCATATAGACATGAACAAACTAAAATAGATAGATAGATAGATATGAACAGGCTGAAAAGATAGATAGATAGATAGATAGATAGATAGATAGATAGATAGATAGATATGAACAGACTGAAATAGATAGATACATAAATAGATATATAGATAATTAATCTAATGAGATTAATAGATGATAGATTAAGAACATAAAGGGATAGGTAGATGGATAGAGGGGATGGATAAGAACAGATTGAAATAGATAGACAGACAGATAGATAGATAGATTGGTAGATAGATATAAATAGAACAAAACAGAGGGGACAGGCATATAGACATGAACAAACTAAAATAGATAGATAGATAGATATGAACAGGCTGAAAGATAGATAGATAGATATAGATAGATAGATAGATATGAACAGACTGAAATAGATAGATACATAAATAGATATATAGATAATTAATCTAATGAGATTAATAGATGATAGATTAAGAACATAAAGGGATAGGTAGATGGAAGAGGATGGATAAGAACAGATTGAAATAGATAGACAGACAGATAGATAGATAGATTTGGTAGATAGATATAAATAGACTAAAACAGAGGGACAGGCATATAGAGATAAAATAGATAGATAGATAGATATGAACAGGCTGAAAAGATAGATAGATAGATAGATAGATAGATAGATAGATAGATAGATAGATAGATAGATAGATATGAACAGACTGAAATAGATAGATACATAAATAGATATATAGATAATTAATCTAATGAGATTAATAGATGATAGATTAAGAACATAAAGGGATAGGTAGATGGATAGATAGATGGATAAGAACAGATTGAAATAGATAGACAGACAGATAGATAGATAGATTGGTAGATAGATATAAATAGACTAAAACAGAGGGACAGGCATATAGACATGAACAAACTAAAATAGATAGATAGATAGATATGAACAGGCTGAAAAGATAGATAGATAGATAGATAGATAGATAGATAGATATGAACAGACTGAAATAGATAGATACATAAATAGATATATAGATAATTAATCTAATGAGATTAATAGATGATAGATTAAGAACATAAAAGGGATAGGTAGATGGATAATAGATGGATAAGAACAGATTGAAATAGATAGACAGACAGATAGATAGATAGATTGGTAGATAGATATAAATAGGCTAAAACAGAGGGACAGGCATATAGACATGAACAAACTAAAATAGATAGATAGATAGATATGAACAGGCTGAAAAGATAGATAGATAGATAGATAGATAGATAGATAGATAGATGAACAGACTGAAATAGATAGATACATAAATAGATATATAGATAATTAATCTAATGAGATTAATAGATGATAGATTAAGAACATAAAGGGATAGGTAGATGGATAGATAGATGGATAAGAACAGATTGGAAATAGATAGACAGACAGATAGATAGATAGATTGGTAGATAGATATAAATAGACTAAAACAGAGAAACAGGCATATAGACATGAACAAACTAAAATAGATAGATAGATAGATATGAACAGGCTGAAAAGATAGATAGATAGATAGATAGATAGATAGATAGATAGATAGATATGAACAGACTGAAATAGATAGATACATAAATAGATAGATAGATAATTAATCTAATGAGATTAATAGATGATAATTAAGAAACATAAAGGGATAGGTAGATGGATAGATAGATGGATAAGACAATTTGAAATAGATAGACAGACAGATAATAGATAGATTGGTAGATAGATATAAATAGACTAAAACAGAGGGACAGGCATATAGACATGAACAAACTAAAATAGATAGATAGATAGATATGAACATGAAAAAAGATAGATAGATAGATAGATAGATAGATAGATAGATAGATGTGAACAGACTGAAATAGATAGATACATAAATAGATATATAGATAATTAATCTAATGAGATTAATAGATGATAGATTAAGAACATAAAGGGATAGGTAGATGGATAGATAGATGGATAAGAACAGATTGAAATAGATAGACAGACAGATAGATAGATAGATTGGTAGATAGATATAAATAGACTAAAACAGAGGGACAGGCATATAGACATGAACAAACTAAAATAGATAGATAGATAGATATGAACAGGCTGAAAAGATAGATAGATAGATAGATAGATAGATAGATAGATAGATAGATAGATAGATAGATATGAACAGACTGAAATAGATAGATACATAAATAGATATATAGATAATTAATCTAATGAGATTAATAGATGATAGATTAAGAACATAAAGGGATAGGTAGATGGATAGATAGATGGATAAGAACAGATTGAAATAGATAGACAGACAGATAGATAGATAGATTGGTAGATAGATATAAATAGACTAAAACAGAGAAACAGGCATATAGACATGAACAAACTAAAATAGATAGAGATAGATATGATGAAAAGATAGATATGATAATAGGATGAAAAGATAGATAGATAGATAGATAGATAGATATATAGATAGATAGAATTAATAGATGATGGATTAAAGAACATAAAGGGATAGGTAAAACAGATATGGATAAGAACAGAGAAATAGACAGACAGACAGATAGATAGATAGAAGGAGATAGATAAACTAAAACAGAGAAACAAAAGACAGAAAAACAGACTGAAAAGATAGATAGATAGATAGATAGATAGATAGATAGATAGAAACAGACTAAAATACACAAAGACAGACAGACAGATCGATAGAAGGACTAAATAAAGACAGAAAAACAGACAGATAGATAGAACAACCTAAAAGAGAGAGGCGTGTAGGACAATAGACATGAACAACCTAAAATAGATAGATAGATAGATAGATAGATAGATAGATAGATAGATATGGACAGACTAAAATAGATAGATAAACAGATAGACAGGCAGATCGATAGAATGACCAAACTAAAATAAATAGATAGATAGATAGATAGATATGGACAGACTAAAATAGATAGATGCACAGATAGACAGACAGATCGATAGAATGGCCAAACTAAAATAGGTAGATAGATAGATAGATAGATAGATAGATATGGACAGACTAAAATAGATAGATAAACAGATAGACAGGCAGATCGATAGAATGACCAAACTAAAATAGATAGATAATCTACAGAATCAGATAAAGAGAGTGGAAGAGAAAGATCGATAAACAACCGGCCGAGATGAATTAAGCAGTCTCTATCATACATCAGAAGAGAACTTATGGCTCCGCGTGTCGGCTGAGTAGATTGGGCTGCGTACTGAGAGTAACTGACGGAATTTTAAAGTGGATTTACGGCTATATTCCGATCACCGAAGTTACGCAACATCAAGCCCTTGTAGGTACCTTGATGGCTGACCAGTTGGGAATATAAGCTTGGATGTGCGGCTGGTGTAATGGATAATGGCTCAGAATTGTTGATCGGAGAGCCAAGTTCCAATTCCTGTTGGATTCGTTATATTAACTTACACGTAGATACCTTTGGGAAAGATATGAATCAAACACTTTTCCCCTTAACTATGGGTTAATTAGTAAGTCCTGTATCAGTAAACCAATATCATCTAAAAATATCTTACAATCTAAAAATACATTATGGCTTTAAATAACCCACAAATAACCGTAAAATCATATCAATCAATAAATAGTAAATTGCATAAAATGTTAAGTAATGAAGATTCAAGACTTGTATTATCATTTAAATATCTGAGGAGTATTTTAAGAAAGGACAGAAAATATGACACCGAAATCCGAAGACGCATTGGGATATCGAAAGATGCTTTCCTGAAGCTAAGCAAAGTATTAAGAAACAGGAAAATATCGTCATCGGAAATATAAGAAAAGGACAAAATTTACTAAGAGCTACAAAGAACAGGAAATTGCGGCGATCCATGATTGTCTGCGCCCTAAAGGAACACGGCTAGAAGAAGAAGATAAAAGAAGAAGAAGAAGAAGAAGGAGGAGGAAGAAGAAGGAGGAGGAGGAGGAAGAAAAAAGGAGGAGGAGGAAGAAGAAGAAGGAGGAGTAGGAGGAGGAGGAAGAAGAAAAAGAAGAAAGAGGAGGAGGAATAATAATAAGAAGAAGAAGAAAAAGAAGAAGAGAAAGAAGAAGAAGAAGGAGGAGGAGAAGGAAGAAAAAGAATGAGGAGGAAGAAGAGAAAGAAGAAGAAGGAGGAGGAGGAAGAAGAAGGAGGAGGAGGAGGAAGAAAAGAATGAGGAAGAGGAGAAGGAAGAAAAAGAAGAAAGAGGAGGAGGAATAATAATAATAATAAGAAGAAGAAGAATGAGAACAAGAAGAAGAAAAAGAAGAAGAAAAAGAAAAAGAAGTAAAAGAAGAAGGAGGAGGAGGAAGAAAAAGAAGGAGGAAGAAGAAGAAGAAGAGAAGGAAGAAGAATGAGGTGGAAGAAGAAGAAAGAGGAGGAATAATAATAATAATAATAATAATAATAATAATAAGAAGAAGAAGAAGAAGAAGAAGAAGAAGGATGAGAAGGAGGAAAAAGAAGGAGGAAGAAAAAGAAGGAAGAAGGAAGAGGAGGAGGAGGAAGAAAAAGAAGGAAGAAGAGGAGAAGGAAGAAGAAGAAGGAGGCGGAAGAAGAAGAAAGGGGGAAGGAATAATAATAATAATAATAATAATAATAATAAGAAGAAGAAGAAGAAGAAGAAGAAGAAGGAGAAGACATTGCACTTGCTACGACACAAGAAAACCGCAAAGGTCGGAAGCAAGTAGTCAATTAATATATTTCTGTTGCTAGTGGGCGTGACAGTTTTTACCAGAAGTTGAACCATTCACGCTGATTCTACCTTCAGCGCCAACAAACTTAACGCCACCGCACATCCGACATTTTCAAGAGACACCATATTTCTTCCGGCTATGACTTCAAAATAGTTTTACTTCAGAAACCTGTTAAAAGTAATACTAAACTTTTCCTAAAGTACTTATTCTTCCTTTTCATGAAGACAATTACCTCTCTGGCACACGCAATCTTTTCTTCTTCCTTTTGCTTGACAGTATTCGAAGACGGTGAGCAAAAACTGAAGAAACGATTTCGACTGAACAATGGCGCTTTTATGTGAAAAGAGGTGACAGGGATAAAATAAACGACAAGTAAGAAAATCTATTTATTTTGCTCAATTTGTATTGAAGGAGATCTAGAATTCCGACTCGTAATAAAATAAACACCAAGTCTACTTTTTGTCTCTGAGTCCGTTCGAGGAAAGCGTGAAATTTTACTGATAATGGGCGAATTTGGAACCGCTACGAAATCTGATGCTACTGTCGACTCGCGGGCCCATTACCACCCTTTATTATCGAATATTGAAGAAGATAGCCGCCAGGTGGCGTACCGTTTGATTAGGTTGAGAACCATTTCACGAGTGACTTGCCTTTGATTACACAGGTAAATTGTACCAGTGAATGCAATGTCTCAAATTGGACACTATTCGCTTGCAAGGCAAGTGTGAAGACTATTCTTTCATTTTTCTTTTTAATGTATACACAGAAATCTGCTTAGTGTACGCTGGAGAGATTATGGAAGCTAATTTATTTAAGAGTTTATGTACGTGTTGTTTTTATAGTCCTGACTTCAAATACTAAAGTTTTAGTCTTTTATCAACTACTTTTCCGCGTTTCTTCACTTGACAATTTCAGACTCGAGGAGGAACTTCAGACAGAAGACGACGCAAAAGTCTACAGCGCTATGTATTCACAATGTCAGGGAAAATTTTAGAAGTATCTTTCTGTTTAGTCAGCTCTTTATTCCTTGTGCAGTCAGTCGGACACAAATGCACATTTAAAAATGGATTCCACATGACTTTGAAGTGTCGTACATTGACCAGCGTTTAGGATTCCCGTCTTTCTTGTTCAACAGAAGATCATTTTGTAAAAAAGACTTTATTGGTCAGAGCAGGTCAGGTCAGGCAGCTTAATTGAACGATATATCAATGCTTGTTATCTAATGTGTAATATATACATTTAAAAAGTAGGTTATTTACTGTCATATATATAAAATATATATATATATATATATATATATATATATATATATATATATATATGGAGAGAGAGAGAGAGAGAGAGATAGATAGATAGATAGATAGATAGATAGATACAGGAAAGAGGTTATAATTGTTCCAACGAGACAAAAGTGTATATTTGAAAAGGGAAACCACAAACGTTTTTGGTTGTAATGTGTTTTTTTTTTTTTAAAATATACTCTGCTTTATTTTCTATTATTTTATGGAAAATAAAGCATAATATGTATTTTTTAAAAAATCCACATTACAACCAAATGCGTTTGCGGTTTCTCTCTTCTTTTTAATATATATATATATATATATATATATATATATATATATATATATATATATATATATATATGTACGATATTTAATTTGGAATATATATTTTTTTGTAGGTTATTTAATGTCGTATACATTTTATGACTAGATTATTTACTGCGAATATATATATATATATATATATATATATATATGTATATATAAGTAGATGAGGTTAGCATTGTGATTAAAATGTATACATTTTATCGGGAAGACCAGCTGATATGAGCGTCTATTCTAACGTAATTTCAATGAAGAAATAAATTGAATAACATATATATTTTTTCTTTTCTCCTCAAAAATTTTATAATTTTAAACTTAATAGAAATTAAATTTTGATTTTAAAATTGGTAATTTTTTACTTTTAATTTTAATATCAAATTTTATCATATAATTAAATACTTATTGGTTAGAATAAATTCTATTTTTGTATAACCCCAACTTTAAAGCTCTTAATAGCTATTATAACCTTAATTCGTTGTCAAGTTTTTTGAATTCTCCTATACTTGTGTTTTGATTGGTCATTCTAGCTTTTGCAACGGCGTTTTGCCCTTGCGAAGGATCGTTAATTAATTTGAAACTTGTAAAACCATTTATTTTACATTCAACATCATCACTTGATAAAACACCGGATGTGTTGAAACAAAATGGCTATTTTTGTAGTGATTTTATAACATATTTATGTTATAATTTTTATATAAATAATTATATATATATATATATATATATATATATATATATATATATATATATATATATATATATGTGTGTGTGTGTGTGTGTGTGTATCTATGCCTGTGTATGTATGTGTATCTGTGTTTGTGTGTGTGTGTAGGTGTGCGTGTGTATGTGAGTGTGTCTGTGAGTGTATGTGTGTGTGTATGTAGGCTATATATGTGTGGTATATTTACTGTCGAATATATACATTTTTATAAGAAGGCTATTTAATGTGGAATACATATATTTTAAAATTAGGTTATGTGCCAATCGGTTGGGTTTCGATCCGGACTTGAGGCATACGGATGTCTAGTCGCACTGAGGAGCAGTGATACAGCGAAATTGTCTGTGAATGTGATAATTTAGCTCTTGAAAATATATTTCATTTGATCACTGTTGAGAGACAAACTGATTCTATAAACAATGCAAAGCTCTTCAGTAAAATGAATTGGAGCACTCCGGCTGATTAGCATTTGTTTACATTCGTAAAAAACATACGCTAGATTTAGCGGAGTCTTTCTGTCGAAAAAAGACAGTAAAGTGGTAGAAACTATGCCTGACGCCAATTCGGTTGGGTTTCGATCTGGGCTTGAGGCTTTCGGATCTCTAGTTGTCCTGAGGAGTTGCGACAGAACACTGTCTGCACATATATGTATTATGTGTCGGTTATATAATTTTCTATATTTATATATTAAAGTGCTCCACATGAGAGATAGAGCATATGCAAATATAAAGATGAACATTGAACTCAACGTCCTGAAGCAACAGCCAATTTCATGCTAAACGCAATCGTAACGTTTTCCATGGCCTGACGACTGCTTCTAGGCGTTAACTTCAATGCCCACTTTTCTTTCTCTCTCTCTCTCTCTCTCTCTCTCTCTCTCTCTATATATATATATATATATATATATATTATCATAAGAGATTAAATTAAAAACATTTTGAAATCGCTACACAAGAGCTTTCATGTTTCAATACTATGATTGTACACAGTTACCATCGCCTGAAGAAACAAAATCTTAGTATTGAAACATGAAAGCTTTTGTGTAGAGATTTCAAAATCTTTTTATCATAATCTCTTGTAAAAAAATATAATAATAATATATTGCTTTATTGTGTATCGAGCAATTTTTAAAAGTAAATGATACGAACAGTGGATTTTCCATCTGTCCTTCTCTCTCTCTCTCTCTCTATATATATATATATATATATATATATATATATATATATATATATATGCTTTATTAAAAATTATAGCATAAACATGTTATAACACAGCTACAAAAAGAGCCATTTTGTTTTAAGACTTCATATATATATATATATATATATATATATATATATAAAATATATATACATAAAAATGTTATAGCATAATCATAACACAAAAGTAGCCATTTTGTTTCAACACTTTGGTGTCTTATCAGTATATATATATATATATATATATATATATATATATATATATATATATATATATATATAACTCTTAACATGGACGTCAACACTGAAACGAGAGGCTGTTTCTTGCTGGACGCAATTTTCAGGCCACGAATGCGTATTAATCACTATGTACTTAATATAGATATTTTAATCAAAATAACAAAAAATAATAGATTTCTCACCTACTTTCTTACGCACACGCTAATGTATCGTGCTTTATATACTGTACACTCGTTTTTGTTTATAATTGAAAGGGCCGCCGCCGCCGTCGCTTTGAAAACTAATACGAGTCGCTCCGCCAAGCCCACAAATTTTAAAATACATTGCTGACGATTTGGAAGTTTTTTTTCCTGCATAACTTTTTTTTTTCATTTTGTCTGCAGATTTTGTCCGTTGTATCCGAAGTTCGTTAATGGTGGGTGGGGGATCCGTAGATGAGAGGTTTGTCTGTACACGAGAATCAAAATATTCTTATTTCTATTTAAATAATCAGAATAACATCCTGGAAATTGGGTGAGTGTACTCTTAAATTGTTTCATGTTCAAGACAAGCCAAAACATTACATTAATAACATTAGCAATGGAATAAAAAAATTTGACAGGACCAATTTCAACTCGATTTAAAAGCCCTAACCTAACCTAACCCTTACTCTAACCCTAACCCTTAGTTCGGAGTTGAAATTAGTTCCGAGTTGAAATTAGTTCCAAGTTGAAATTAGTTCCGAGTTGAAATTAATTCTGCACCCCACGAAATTAAACACAAGTTCAAGGGCTACGAATATTTGGCTCGCTCCAATCGTTCTTAAAAAATTCGCGTAATGAAGGTCTTGTTGAACAAACACGCTTCCAGATCCTTTTACATTAATGCGGGCGTCATCTAGGGATCGATCCTTGGACCTACGTAGTTTCTTATCTTCATCAATGACCTTCCTGATATCATCAGTTCTCAACTAGGCATTTGTGCTGATGACACAGCTATTTATTATTGTCCTAGTAGCAATTTCGACAGATCCGACAAAGCTAAGCTGGTAACTGCTCTCGAAAAGCACCTTCAATCAGTAGTTAATGGGGGCAAGGAATGGCTTGTAAATTTTAACGCCCCCCCCAAATAATACTAATTTCATTTAATCACCACGGAGAATCTTTTGTCTCCTGCCATCAACGTAACTGATGCTAACTTCCAGGAGAAAAATACTCTCCGCCTTCTTGCGCTCACCTTTTTCACTGACATGAAGTGGATTCATTATATTGAATCAGTTGCTAGGTCTACTGCGAGGAAAGTTGTTTTACTGTGCCGTGACAAATAACTGTTCTTTTCGGAATCCATCTTGCATATTTATAAATGTAACATTCATCCATGAAATGAATACACTGGTCCACAATTTTTCAAAAGTTGACTCCTTCGGAAACGAAATGCGCCAACTCTTACCTATTTTGGTATGCTGAACGCAAAAATGGCTTTCAAATTAGATGATTGGCTCTAGATTGACTGATATTTAGTCAGTTATGTCATACATACGAGTACAAGAGATGCCCACAAGAAAACAATTTTGCTTTGTAAAAACTGCTTTGATGTTCTGTTTTACGTCGTCTATCAGTGCAATACACAAACACATCAAAATGGTAATATATGTTTATTGAATAAAATGCAAGCGGAAAATTCTCTTTAGAAATATATATATATATATATATATGTGTGTGTGTGTGTGTGTGTGTGTGCGCAATTATTGGTCAATGACAGACTAAAAATAAGGAGACAGACATAGGTCAATAGACATGAAACAAACTAAAATAGACAGACAGACAGATAGATAGATAGATAGATAGATAGATAGATAGATATGGACAGATTAAAATAGATAGACACACAAATAGACAGACAGATCGATAGAATAACGAGATTAAAATAGATAGATATTGTCTTTAGTAAACTACAAAAGGATCATCTCTGGTCACAGTTCAACGATAATCCACCAGTATAGATGAACCCCACCAGGCTTGAAACCGTTTCTCCATTGCTGCAATGTCTTGATGAAATCGTTCACCGTGCTCATCACTCCCAACAACTTATTGGGAGTGGAGAAATCGAGATTCGAGTCTAAGATGTTAATCTTCAAAGACATATTACTGCCAAGATGTTTGTATACTTTTGGAGGGGTATTCAATAATCTAATTTTCTGCTCTTTCCTTACCCAGAAATTTGGTTTCCACTGATTTGAAAGCGCTCCATACAGTTTGTACTTTTCCCCGTAGTACTCCAAAAAGATGCCTTCTTTTATCTTTGCTTCACTTATCACATACTTGAAAGCTCAAGGACACATGGCCCAGTGGCTAAAGACGTTATGACTAGACCCAAAAGAATCGTAAATTCAATACCAAGCCACAACAGTGCTGAACCAAAAGTTGGAGAGTTGAGTTAAAGGGAAATAACTGAAAGAGGTATGGCACGTGGAACTAGAACAATCTACCCCTGTGGACAAAATAAAAGTTGGGTTCGAAATTCCAAACACCTGATGAAGGCCGAACCGTACAACTGCCGAAATGTTGTGAATATGACAATGAAGATGAGGATAATGTAAATAATGCAAATAATACCTGAAAGCTGTCTTTATTTTGTGATTAGTTTTGACAATTTTTTTTATAAGTCAAGCTTAATGGGAAGAGGTGGCAACAATGTTTTCTTTGATTCAACTAGTGGTGTATGATGGGCAGTTACCTCCCGGTTTACAGTGATTGCTCTAGTGGCCAGTAATGAGAATTTCATGAAGATGACATGAAAATACACTTGACTGGGAACAAGTACTGCAGTAATTATGACGTCATATCTGCTGATGGTGACGATTTTGACCAATAGGATGCACAGTTTTCTTTGAAGTCAGATGTCAGTTTACCTGATAAAGGAGACTTGAAATTGATGCATGCAAGGTTTCACAGCTCTAGCATTACTCCTTCATAATAAGCCTATAAACTTTTCAGCCCACCCTCATATATAACATTGCAAAGGATAGCCATTCTATGTCAGTTGGATTGAGTTAGTTTTTAGTTTACTTTTCCTTCCTCTTGTGCTGTTACCCGCCGCGGGGAGATACAGTCGTCTGTCAGCGGCAAGGCGAGAGATATCACGCGGCAAGGCGAGAAATATCACGCGGCAAGGAGGAGAGATATCACGTGGGCTCTGAGAGTGTATGCCACTGAGTCGCTCCAGCGTCTTCTTAGTCTGACTCTCGATCTCCAGCCAGAGTACCTGAGGGTGTATTCCCGTAGGGTTGGTTGGTTGATAGGCATACGAAAGAGGTGTCCGAACCACTTGATCCTCTGTTGTTCGATGTGTTGTATGATTGATATTGCTCCTACTATATCTCTTATTGCCTCATTCTTGATCTTGTCTCGCCTGGTCTTGTTCACTGCTTTCCTCAGGCATTTCATCTCACAAGTGATCAGTTTTCTATCAAGGGTTTTTGCTAGGGGCCATGTTTGTCAGTGGAATGTCAGCATTGGTAGGAAAATGGCGTTGATGAGATTTGCCTTGGTGCTCTTGGAAAGCCCGACTCCTCGTCCTCATCCTTGTCGTGGGAGATGGAAACAGATAATGCTGGCCAACGGGTCACTGGTGAAGCCATGACTGGCTCAGCAGGGCGAAAGTGGATAAAAATTGCTCAAGGAAAAAAAAAGGAGATACAGACGGTCAGTTGGATTTATCCATTGTATTTTACAAACTGCGAATCACCTTCTGCAAACATGGCTTCTGCGGAGGTAAAAAAGGTCTCATAATCAAAACAATGTCCAAGATTTCGACTCACATGAGTCATCTTCAGAGGTGTAAAAAAAAAAAAAAAAAAAAAAATAAAGGAAAGAAAATTAAAATTGTTATAAAACATAATACTTATTTATTACTTAAAATAATTTTGATTTTCTTTCCTTCTTTTTACATAACCTGAGGAAAGCACATACTCTGCGAAAGCAAATTTCTAATGAAAAACTAAAGAGATAATAACACAACATCTAAGTCCCACTAGTTAACCCATTGCTGGAGGGAGACGAGGTGGATTCATATTTTTCCAACGGATATTTGCGCTGAAGTGGATATAATAAACACAACTAGAATTGGAACTCAGCTCTTTGATTTCAAATTCCGAACCGTGAACCATTACACCACCCTCTTGTCTAAGCTTACTACACCTGGTATTACTAAGCGCTCAACCAGTTAGTTACTGACCAGGCTCGACGTTGCTTAACTCCCGTGATCATACGAGAACTAATGTTTTAACCTGATGTAGCCGTTAGCCAGTGAATTTATTGAAAACTCAATTCAGGCTAATAACTGAACAATATATAACGTGTCAGAAATCGTTCAAATTTATTGTTACAAATAATTTAACCATATTGTTCGCTACACTATTTACATTATTCGCACTATTGTCCTCATCCTTGTCGCCATATTTATTACAACGTTTCGGTCGTTGTACGCTCCGGCCTTCTTCAGGTGGTTGGAATGTCGAACTGAACCCTTTATTTCGCTCACTGGGGTAGACTGTTCCACGTGCTATATAGAAAGAAAGAATCACATGACGCAAACTAATATGTGGATCACATTTCTGAAAAAAAAATCTTACTCATCGGCACTTCTCACCTCTTCCGTAGATTTTTCTCCTTGCAGTGATTTTTTTTTTAAGCAATTCACCCCAAGCAAGGCAGGAGTGCCACTAGTACGCAAGGGGTTACAGAGTGGGAGCGAGATAAAGAGGCGTGATGGAGGAAAGGATGAAGAGAAGGACAGGGAATAGGTCAGGGCATCTGGAGATGTCGATTGACATTACATTTGAATAGTTGGAGATTATAGCTATCAGGGAAACAAATAATAGGAAGGGAATTCCACAGACGGGAGGTGTGAGACATGAAGCTATTACAGTAGAAGAGACAGCCACAGTTAACCGCTTCGACAGTGAAATGGTGGGACCATTACGCCAGCCTAGTAGCACGCTTAAATTCATACAGTCTGAGAACTAGCGAAAGTAGATCGTCGGCGCAGTTACCGTGAAAATATCTGTAGAAAAGACAGAAGGAGGCAACGGCACGTCTGTAAGAAAGCGACTGTAGACGAGATGCCAGATCAGGACCAAACACATTGCATATTCGCCTCTGGATTTTGTCGAGGATGTTCGGGCTAACAGCGGGGGCTTCAGATCATATATGTCAGCAGTATTCCATGCAAAGGCGAATGGTTGATTTATAGATTGCAATTACTTTTTTTTTTCTCTCCCTGCTTGCATTGGAACTCATCTGTTTTCCTCTTCCGAGACAAAAACAAACAAATAAACGTGATGTCTGGTTGAGAATTGCGGGTGACACGAAGCAAAAATGAAAATACAATAATAATAATAATAATAATAATAACAATAATAATCCTTTGTACATGTATATTTTCAGAATAGATTTCTTATGAAATTGGGATTCAGACGAAATCTTATCTCAGCGGACAAATTTGGCTTTATTTAAACCAGACAACTTATTGGACAGCAGTTGTGCTCGTTCTTAGATAATAACAACATCACTAGAAATAATAATAGCAACATGTTTTTAATAATTAATTTGAATGACAAAACACTGACAATTTAAGTTCAAGACATTAATGTGGCATAACAAGGAAAAAAAGTTTGTCATAAATATTGTTTTAATAATTTTTTTAATACGACATTTGACCGTTAATAGTGGATGCATACAGTGTATGAAATTTGGATGCAAATGTAAAAATATTATGGGTCAGAGGAAGCAATATTTTTTTCTTATTTTTTCCGCAAATAATATAAATAATATACTGAAAGAATTTTCAGGAGTTCCAAATAAGTAACGCGAAATAATAACAACAACAAATAAAATAATGAAATATAAAATAAATAAGAAATAAATATCGCTAATTTATAAACAATATCGCCAAAATAATAATAAATCGTAAATTACGATATAAAATGTTAATAGCTTGAAGATGAATATGGCTTTCATGATGTATCACATTTCCTTTGAGAGCTTTCAAGTTCAACGACGAACTTCATGTATATTTACATTATGTGTGTGTATATATATATATATATATATATATATATATATAGAGAGAGAGAGAGAGAGAGATGTATGTATATATATATATATAAGTATATATATTTAGGAATAAAAATGGCAATAGGAAAACTGGTAATTGCTGACGCCTTTCGTCCAATGTGGACTTTATCAAAGCAAAATAGGAAAAATGAAATTAATTGAATAAAGTAACTAACATAAACAGAATTAATTTCATTTTCGTATTTTGCTTTGATAAAGTCCACATTGGACGAAACGCGTCAGCAATTACCAGTTTTCTTATTGTCATTCTTATTCATAAATATTGTCTTCTCTACTGGTTAAATCAGAGAATTTTTCATACAAGTATATATATGTATGTGTATGTATGAATGTATATATATATATATATATATATATATATATATATATATATATATATATATATATATATATATATATATATATATATATATATATATATATATATATATATATATATATATATATATATATATATATATATATATATATATATATATATATATACATGTATATATATATATATAAATATATACGTGTGTATATGAATGTATATATATAAATAATTATAAGTAAATATATATTTGCATGTATGTATATAAATAAGTATATATATGTGAATACATATATAATATATACATATGTATGTATATAAAGTATATATATATATGTGTGTGTGAGTGTATGTATGATTATAGTAGATATATATATATATATATATAAATAAATATATATGAATGTATATATAAGAATATATATATGTGTATGTGTCTATGTATGTATATGTATATACATAAGTAAATATATATATATGTATTTATATATAGTATATATATATGTAGGTATATATATATATAAGTAAATATATATACATGTATATATAAGTACTTATATGTGTATGTATGTATGTATGTATATATATATATATATAAGTAAATATATATAAGTATATATATATATATATGTATGTTTGTATATATTATATGTGTGTGTATGCATGTATGTTTTTATATATGTAAATATATATATAAGTAAATGTATGTATGTGTATTTATATAAGTATTTATACGCATGTGTATATATGTAAGTATATATATATATGAAATATATATATATGCATACATGTATATATAT